CCCGCCGCTCTCCAGACCAGCGGCGGGGCCGCCACCTCTTCCAGCTGCATCAGCCGGGCCGGAAGCTGCGCCAGCGACGCAGCCATGCTCGAAGCCGCCACTGCGGTGCTGGTCGGCGGGCAGCAGGTGGCGGCTGCCAAGTGCAGCAGCAGCCCGGGAGACTTGATGGATGGAGACAGCGAGAGCGGTGACACCGCCTCGGCGTCATACGCGCTGGATTGCTCAGTGGTGATCGTGCGCGCCTGCTCCTCCGTGGCTGGCGGCACCAAGGCGGCGGCGGGCACGCCGCGGGGCTGTGACAGCAGCAGGGGTGGCTCCCGCAGCTGGGACGCCCGCGTGATCGTCGGCGGCGCCTTTGACAGCGGCGCGGCCGCCCCTGCTGGCGACAAAGGGCTGGCGCCTGGCATGGGCGTGGGCGCCGCCTGGTGGGGCCGGATGCGCGGCAAGGCGCGCCAGGCCAAGGCTGCGCTGCGGCGGCATGGGGTGTTTGCGCCCCTGTGCTTTGCTCCAGGCGAGGTGGACTGCTTCTGAGGGGCGCTGCGTCAGGGGTCGAGGGATTGTGCGAGCCACCTATGTGATGGTTTGGGACCCCACTTCAGCCAGTTGGGGGTGCTTGGACCCCAGTTTAAGTTACGTTGCTGTACCAATGCACAGCTGACTGTGACAGCCTGCATATACATTTTCCTCTGGTTTGTTGAGAGCTGCAGGCTGCTTGATGCAGTGCCTGGTCTTGGAGGTGAGCTTGCGGATGCCTGCGGGGATGACACTAAGCACGTGTCAGCTGCTGCAGGCAGCCGCGCTCCCCGCATCTAGGACTATACATACACAGGAAGCACCAGGATCGGCGCGCCACCACCGCCAGCTTTGTGTTTTTGGGATTACAGGGTCGAGTCCCTCTCCGGGCTGCCAATTAGGGCTTGGTCCCAGCTGCGGCCGGGTTCAGGCCCCTTTTCAGCCTCACATTACAACTCTTCATCACGTGCGCTGAGTCTGCTGAAGTTACCTTCTACTTGCTGCCCGTGCAGCAACCATCCAAAGACACCACTGTACTTGTCAATACATCATCAATGTTTCATCAATGTTTCAAGGAAGCCTTGCAATCAAAGTGCAACTCCCTGTGCTGTTCAACTTTGAGGTTTGTAAGTTTCAAGCATGAAAGCAAAACCCACAGCCGGAGCCGGGTTTCAAATGCGCAGGGAAGACAGTGGATTGCATCAAGCAGACCTGCGAACCCAAACAGGCTGCAACAACAGCTTTCATTCTCAAACCTCCACTACACTGCTCGCTTGTTGTGGCATGGCAAGAGCCACCAGTCTTCACATTTGCCAACGTTAAAACCGCTCGCACTCACTTGCCACCCCTCTCTGCCAGCTTGCCATCAGCCCCGCTCTTGCCAGCACGCACTCCTCGAGGGCTCATCTTGGAGCAGCAAATCACACCAGCAGAGTGCCGATGAGGCGCCGGTGCGCACGATGCCTGTCGGGGCTGGGGCTGTGCTGGTGACACAGCTGGGTTTCAGGGGGACAGCAAAATGGGATCGTCCAGGCAGGGTGACACATGCAAGGGCAGGGGGGCAGCGGTCAGCCGTTCAATGCCATGCCTGCCGCCAGCTGGCTCCTCGCCCCTCTTGTGGCGCCATTACTTAGGCAATGGCTGCTGCTGCCTTTTCTTGAAGGCTGCCCAGTCAGCCGGCACGCAGCCGCGGCGCCCAACGCCGTCGTGCCTGCCACCTCTTGTCGAATACAGTGCTGGCCCTAGATAACACGCAACCGCAACCCCAGCCGTGTGTCCCTACCTGCAAAGGACGCGTACATCCACAGTATGCGTTGACTGTGTGTTGGCTACGGCCCACCAGGCGCTGGCCCCAGCGATCACCAAGATCAGAGCGTATTGCAGAGTGCTGCCTCCTCAGCCGCAGCACACTCCGGATGCTGCACCCCGCGCCGCGCGACTTGGGGGGCCGGCAGGTGCCGTCCCGGCGCGAGCAAGGGCAGAGCGCGTTGTACCTGCAGCGAGGGGCATCTTCTCACAAGCGGGCCGAAGCAAGGGCGAAACGGCGTGGGGGCAAAAATGGGTGGCGAGTCTGGGCTGGGCGGCGCTGCTGTGCGGTGGCACAGATGGGGATCTGCATCGTGAGTGCCGGCTTGCGGAGCTTGTGAGGTTGGTGGGCTCGCTGGGTAGACAGCATTGACATCCCCTCCCCCAAACACACAATCCATGCTCTCTCCCAGCTGATAAGCCACAACCATGTGGCTGGTCCCAGACTCACGCAAGGCGTGCCATCCAGGTGCCGCCGCTGCTGGGTGCAGGGGGTGTGGTTGGCCACTGAGCGAGGGCTGCAGCATTGTGGGTTGGGGCGAGCTGTCGCCAGGGCGGCAATTGGGCGCCACCGTCTGCGTAGCCCAGGCGTCAGGCATAGGTGAAGCGGCCAACAATGAAGTGCTTCATTGGCGCGTGTCTGCCGCGTGAGCACCGTAGTCGATTGAGACGCCCTGCGCGCCCAGATCTTTACGACCAAGGGCGCGCCCGCACGTCCATACATTGTTGTGCCCGTTGCTTTCGTCCCCTCGCAGCTGTCTCTTGCGCTTCCATGTGTATTGGATGCAGCTCCTGCTCGTCCATGCCGCGCCGCTGCCATCGTTCTGCTGCTTGCTTCAAGGTTTGCGCCGCCTCGGCTGGCGTGATCTCAACGGTGCGGCACGACTTTTGATGTGGACGAAGCTGGTCGTACTACCATGATATGTGGTTGACATGCAGGCGTAGATTTCAGTTCATTCATTGCGCAAATTGTTTTGTTTCTTTCTGGGATGACGAGTCAGGCACGTAATGGCACGATCTCAGGCCTCTTTTTCGGATATTGTCCGACGCAAAGGTGTCGAGGGATTGGATAGGTTCTACATATGCTCTGTATCCAGCCTGTGCTCACAGCCGTCCAGCGGCGCAGTTGCCTCGCCTCCATCGCCTCGCCCGGCGCTGCTCGTGCTGCATGCGCTGTGCCACGGCACATGGCGGCGGCGCAGGTCCTCAAGCAAAGCAGCAGACAGGTACGGAAGAGGAGCAATCTTGCCTGACACCTTCCAGCGGTTGCCAATCAACCAACCAGCTAATCCGAGCCTTCGGCGTCGGCGCAGTCACCCAGTTGTTGCGACCGCCGCCCGTCCTTTGTCCCTCCCACGTCATTTTGGCCGGCCCCACCTGCCCCTATTGAGCAGGCCGCTGCCAAGGCCATGAGGCCTGTGGTTGGAGCTCCTTGCAGCCCGTGCCTGTTGCGGTATCGTGGATGCCGTGAGCGGCGGATCGGGGCGGCGCCGCTGCGTCATCGCCCCCTGCGACGGCCTCAGCCGCCCTGCCGGCCACGAGGCGGCGGCGCCTGCGTGGTTGACGGCGGCGATGTCAGCACTTGAGATCTTCTGGCGGGGCTGCTGGACAACAGGTGGGCAGGAGAGGTGGGGAGAGTCGGGCCCGCAGCACTGCCGCCGACGCGCCACCTTGAGTTGCAGTGTTGCCTCTATGGGCGCCTGGCATTCGCAGAGGGGGTTGCTCAAATCTTGAAAGGAGTACCAGAGATTAGATTGGGGATACTGAATTGCGGCCACAAGTGAACGTGGGCGGCACCGATGACCCGGGGAGCCCAGCAGCGAATGTGTTGCTGTGACGTGCCAGCAGACAGTGGTGATGGTAGGCCATGTGCGCCCCGGCTCGTATCACACAGCGCCCTTGGTGCATTCAACAATATTGCATAATAAATTATCGATTGAGTGCGTATAAGCCAGGCCCAAGGGTGGTTGCAGGGAAGGTGCTAAGAAATCCGACGGCTGCAAAACACACATGCCCTTGATAACAACTGCACAATCGGCTGTTACCAATTACGCATTATACGAGTCTAAACACATAACTCTTGCGACGGATGGTCAACACGGAGAGCCCCTGCCAGGGGGCTTCGTCCGCGCCCCAGCTTCGGTGCGAAATCAAACAATATCATAGTATTTGCTCGATTTCATGTCGATGTCACGCGCAGGGAGACGTGCAGGGGCGCCGTTCTGCGCCATGCGCCATCGCGCGCGCGCATCCGCTCCTGCCCTGCTCCAACGCTTCTGCGCCGCTCACCTGCACCCCCCTGTGCCGCCCTGCCCCTCTTCTCCAGGCCCGGCTGGGTGGAGCGAGAGGGAACCACCCTGAAGGGCGGCTCTGGGGAGAATGTGTGGGTGCGCGTCACTAACGACAGCCAGACTGGGGCCCTAGAGGTGGCGAAGGTGTACTCCAACGCCACGCTGGAGCAGCAGCCAGAGCTGAAGCAGATGGTGAGCCCAAGAGAGGGAAGGGTGCATGAAGCAAAGCAGCTTGAAACGGCAGCGCCCCCACCAGCATGGGCGACTGCATTTCGCGCGCCGGCGCGCACCGCTGAGGGCCGCGGCCGCCGACCTTTGACGCGCGCTGCTTGGCGGTCTGCGCGTGCGTGTGCACAGACAGCCGAGGCCATGCAATAATATTTCAATGCTTGCATGTTCAAGCGTAAACGAGGCGCATTGATCGCCGCACGCGCGCATGCACGCCTTAGCGCCGTCGCCCGACCCCGCCGCGCCCGCGCCCTGCATTCGTCGCGTGCGCGCAGGCGTACAATGAGGCCGATTTCCACCTGAAGCACGCCGGGGAGGCACCCAGCGCGGTGGTGCCTATGATCAACTCCCACTACGACCCGGAGCTCTTCGTGATGGGCTTCCCGTACGCCGGCAGGTGGGGCCGCGGGCTGGGGGCCGCCGCGGCCGGGGGCCTGTAGGGGCGTCGCGTCTTGGCTGCGAGCGTCGAGGGGCACGGGAGATGGGGCGGCGCGACGCCGAGGGTGCAGGCATCTAGGGCGCGCGTGAGCTTGGTGCGGCCGCGCATCACGGGAAGGGGCGCCGAGCGCGGCCCAGCACGCGTGTCCCACGTCGCCTTCCGCGCCGCCGCCCCGCCCTGCCGCCGCGCGCCTCCTCACAACCCGCGTGCAGCCGCGGGGGGCCGCTGCCCCGCCACCTCTGCACCATCGCCGCACTGCTGAGTCAAACTGCCACGCCCTGCCCACCCTGCCTCTTCATCCCCCGCCAGGCCCCTCCTGAGTTTCGTCTGCCAGCCGCTGGACGCGGCCTCCCTGTGGCGCAACGCGCTGCTGGGCTGCGAGTTCGTGAGCAGGGTGGTGCCCGCCATGAGATGGCTGCACGGCAAGGTGAGTGCAGCCGGAGACGCGCGCACGCCCTCGCCCGCACGCAACAGCGGGCGGCTCGGGAGCGCGCGGGCGCCGCGTTTGCGGCAGCACGGGAGCCAGCCGCACCTCCGCACGGGCGGGGGCCGGCCTCCGCCCGTGCGCTTGCGGGGCGGCCGCCGCGCCCTCCCAAGATCGGCGTCTAATGGACCTTGCACCCTCGGCCTTCCTCACGCGCATGCCTCGCCAGATCCGAACCTATCACCAAACCCACCCCCCCCCCTTCATTCCCCCAAAACCTGCGCCCCGCCAACAGGGCTTGGTCTACTTGGACTTCAAGCCCGAGCAGGTCCTGGCCCAGGTCGACCACCAGGCGCGCCGTCTACTCATCAATTGGGTGGACTTCGGGTCCCTCGCGCCGCGGGGCCAGTGCTGCGTCTGGACCGACGGCTTCGTGCCCCCCGAGGTGCGGGCGGTCGGCGGGGTGGGTTTGCGCCCTCCGCGCATCACGTGTGTGCGGCGGGAGTGGGGGATACGCGCGGGGAGTTGAAGCCTGCTGCCTTGCGTGGCGCATGCAAGCGATCGCCGCCAAGGATGAGGGGTAGTAACACTGCTTTACTCAGAGGCTGCTCGATGCGTGCTTGAGGGGGGATGAGCCCACCCATCTGGCGAGCAGGGCGTGTAGCAAGCAGGGCAGGTGGCCGTCTTTCGCCGCCTCACTCGGCCCCGCCAACCACCGCCGCATGCGCCCGCCGCGCCGCGTCGCCCCTCTTGGTACCCTGCAGGCCCTGGCCTGCTGTGGTGATGTGGTGGGCATCAACGCCGCTGCGACAGAGGCCTGGGACGCGTGGGCCGTGGGAACGGTGCTGATGATAGTGAGTGGCCGGCGCGTTGCCGATCACACCAACCCGGGGCCGCGCACCGTCACGCTCGCTCGCCGCGCACCGCCCCCTGGCCGGCTGGGCCCACTCCGCTGCCGCACGCTGGCTGGGCGCGCGGGGCTGGCTGGCTTTGATGCAATCTGCCGGCGCACACAGTTGCAATGCTGCATCTGGTGAAAATCCCTCAACCCTGCTGACCCTCTGCCCCTGGCACCTGGCGTGTTGCCTGGCTTGCGATCCAAACAGACAGCACCGCAACCACAACTCACCACCCCTCTTGCTTCATGACTCTATCTCCAACCGTCCAACCTGCGATCGACCACCCCGCCAGATCCTGACAGCCCACACGCCCTTAGAGCGCCCTGAGTGGCAGCAGGGCCTCTTCAGCGCCGGCGGCGGCGCCGTCAATGGCTGCTGCAGCTTCCGGGACGCCTGCATGGCGTCCCCGGCGTGGAACAACATGCCTGCAGCTGCCGTGCAGCTGCGCGAGCTGGCGGAGGGGCTGACGCGCCCGGACCCGACGAAGCGGCTGACCCTGGATGAGGTGGAGGCGAAGCCCTTCTTCCAGGACGTCACGAAGGAGACCGCCTGGAGGCAAGGCCTCCTGTATGAGATCTGGGCCGGCCAAGGCGGCTGTCAGGCGGCCGGGGAGGGGCAGGTGGGGGTGCGGGACGGGGGCTCCAGAGCTGGGGCCTGGCGTAAT